ATCAGTTCTGTTCCTTCTAAGCACTGGTTCTCAACCTTCCTAATGCTGCAGCCTTTTAGTACAGTTCCTCATGCTAAGGTGACCTCCAACCATAAAAGTATTTTGTTGCTACTTCATAATTGCAATTTTGCTACTGTTATGAATTATAATGTAAATATCTGATATGTGGCCCCCAAAAGGGTCACGACCTACAGGTTGAGAAACTCTGCTCTAGAGAGCCCTGGCTATATACAACCCTGTGTTTTAGACTACATCTGCGTACAGGGGTATTTTCTTTTTTTTTTTCTTTTCAAAATTTTTATTTGTTATTTATTTACTTTGTGATGAGTTCTTACTATGTAAACCTGTGTGGTCTGGAACTTGCTATGTAAACCCGATTGGCCTTGAACTCTCAGAAATCTGCCTGCCTCTGCTTCCCAAGCATTCAAATTAAATACACAGACCAACACACTGTGAAAGGGGTATTTTCTTCCTTCCAAAGAGCAATAATTTTGTTTCAATAAATAGATACAAGATGACAACAAAGAATTTATAGAAAACTAACTTTAGCTGTAGAAGTCAAACTTAATGGTATCCACCTGTCATACAATACTTGAGTGACTACAGTAGTCTGGAACAAAAGAACAGAAATATACCCAACAATTTACAAGGACTGCCCTAAACAAAACAACAAAAGCAAAACAAAACAGAGCAAAAGCCACACCTAAAGGGGCGGCCACTTCATGCACCTGCCCCTCAGTCACTCTCCTGAGAAGGAATGGTACCTTTCTAACAGACAGGAAGACACGGCGTGTCCTACCTGCAGAGCCTCCAGCCGCATGGGGGATGGTTCATAGGTGCTTCCCAGGGAAGAGCCAGCATCGCTACCTGAGCAGGAGTCCTCCCTGGGCAGCACCACAGTGGAGATGCAAAGTCGGATGAGCCAGCAGGGCTCTGAAGACGCCTTTGGCGAGCTGACTGACGCTTCCTCCAGAGAGGGTCCTGCAGGGACTTTCTTCCAGCAGTCAGGAGTGCTGAGGTAGGGAGTTGCTGAACTGCTGCTGCTGAGCCCAGAGGAGCAGGGCTGCTGCAGGAGCAGCTGGACTTCCGGCAAAGGCGCATGAGTAGACACTATAGCCCCTAAGAGTGTGAGACTCGACACGCGAACATTAACATCTGCCCAAAGAAAGACAGAGCATCACAAATCACTGACATAAATGTCGTAAGTGCCGTAGTTATCCCTGCTAGCAATTAAGAATTGCTAGATTCTTCTTTAAGTAGGTATAATTAAACCCCTAATTTCAGTTCATAGAGAATATGGGACAATATCATAAAAAAACAACATGACAAATCAAGAACGTTATTCTACAAGACAACTGACTAGGAGTATCCAAATATGAATACTAGGAAAAAAATCAAAATAGGTTGTGAGGTTCCTTGATTTAAAAAGACCACAGAACCCAGGCATGGAGCTGTATATCTGAATTCCTAGCACTTGGGTGTGGGAGAGATGGTTCAGTTGGTAAAAGCACTTGCTGCTCTTGCAGAGGACTAGAGGTTGGCTCCCAGCATCCACATGGTGCAGCTCGCAACTGCCTGTAACTCCAGTGCCCTCTTCTAGCCTCCTAGGTATCCGAATACACATGCACATACTTACCCACAATCACAAAAATAAAACCAGTGTCTTTACAACGCTAGCACTCTGGAGGGTAGGGGAGGAGGACATTTGAGGCCAACATGGGCTATATAGGGAGACCTCATTTCAAAAACAAAACAAATAGAAACACTATAGTGGAACATATAGTAACAAAAATTATTAATCCATGTACATGAATGATCACAGGATTTAAAAGAAAAAAGCTATTAAAAACAAAAAAACAGGGTTAGGGCATCTCAGTGATTGAAGCAATTGCCCTAAGCATGAGGACTGGAGAACCCGTATCCATGCTGAGTGCGTGTGGTGGCCCACACGTAATTCCAGTGCTCAGAAGACCAGGGATGGGAACCCAGGAACAAAATGTCTATCCAGAGATCTGGTGCAACTGAGAAACGTTCTCAATGAAGTGGACAGACTGAAGAACATGCCTGATGCCAATCTAGGGCCTTCACATGTGTGTGCCCCCTCCCAAAAGTTCATATACACATGCACTCACACCACACATACATAACACATGAGGGGAAAAAGCTAGAAGGTCTGCATTTGAGTTCAGTTTTCTGCATCTGGTTGTCTAGCAGCTCTAGCACCATTTACTGAAGAGTTATTTTGGTTATTTTGCTGTATCAGCTAACAGTGATGGATGTGGGTATGTTTCCAGGCTTTCTACTCTCTTCTTCTGACCTATATTCGACACTGTCTTTACTGTAGTTTTATAGTAGGTTTTGAGGTGCTAACACACCTGGGTTCTTGCACCCTCGAGGCAAGTGTTCCACTGAGTTTGACCTCCAGCCTAACTTCTCTATCAGTACTGTTTCCTATTCCAGGTCTTTTACCTGGTAAATGTAAGAACCTATTTGTCGATGCTATACAAAATGACCTGCTGTGCTTTTCACTGGGATCAAGATTGGGAGAACCAACACCGAACCCTATCTACGAGCAAGGACTCTTCCATCTCATCCATCACTTTCTAGTGTTCATATGAACCTGCTATAAATTTTGTTAGATTCACATTTAGAATTTGATCATTTTAACAATGAAAACATTCAAGTACAAAGTCAAATATTTGAAAGGGACTGTTGAGATGTGTCCCTCTCCTGGGGCTGAAGATGCAACTGAAGAGAAACAGGCACCATTAGACAAGCAGCTGCCTGCACCAGGAGCCTTGGGCTCTAACTTGTACCTTTTGCCATCACTGTGATGAGAGGCCTCAAGGCAGGACTTATCTTTCTGTGTCCTGATTTATAGACCCGTGGGCTGAACTTGGCCTCTCATGTCAACCTTACAGAATAGGTGCAAGTCTTCCTGTTATGAGGAAATGGGGTTCTGGATGGGCCATAGCTGTGAAGATGGAAGAAGAGGGGGCTGTAGTTCCTCAGACTGACTCCAGGGCCAGTGTCTCTCCCATAGTGTTCCAGAAAATACTGCATATTCCAGAAAAAGCTCTGCAACTCTGACTGAAAACTTAGATGTAAGAGGGAGCCTGATCTGAAATCTTGCAAACAAAGAGGAACATTCTAAAGGCAGGTGCTGACAGCCCATACACATGTGTGGGAACATTCTAAAGGCAGGTGCTGACAGCCCATACACATGTGTGGGGATATTCTAAAGGCAGGTGTTGACAGCCCATACACATGTGTGGGAACACTCTAAAGGCAGGTGTTGACAGCCCATACACATGTGTGGGAACATTCTAAAGGCAGGTGCTATCAACCCATACACATGTGTGGGAAAAGCCAAGACATACAAGCAGTATCTTTGCAGTCAAGGAGAGGTGAACCAACTTCAAAAGACCTTATGTGAACCATACAGATCGCGTTACAGAAGTTAGGGTTTTGTTTTCTCCTCAATACATGACATCACCCACCTATCCATCTATCCACCCGTCCATTCTGTCTATCCACCTACCTATCCACCCTTCCTTCCATCCATCTATCCACCCATCGATCCATCGATCCACCCACCCACCCCCCCTCCCCCATCCATCCATCCACCCACCCACCCTCCCCCCATCCATCCATCCATCCGTCTATCACGATCACTCTAAGATGCAGTTTGTTCACTGTCCTAAGACGTCGAAGCAAGCACTCAACTCAGTTGGTTCTCCAGCTCCTTCCCTTCCCCCAAACAGCCGTCTAGTTGTTTATACCTTTGACAAGCTGAGACTAAGCAAACATCTTAGAGCTGAAGAGGTGCTCTCAATACTTACTTCTCATTCTTTTAAACACTGATAGTCTACATTGACAAAAAGAAGCAGTTAGCACTACTAACCTTTGTGGCGGATGTAAGGTTTTATGTGGTTCCAGACTTTGGTCAGCAAGCTGAGTTTCAGGCGGTTGTAGGGGGCATTTGATACTAGATTTGCAAGGCACTGTAACAGAACAGAAACATACATTCACACACACACACACACACACAAAATAATATTTTTTATCTTTATTTTTGTGAGTATGTATGTGTATGTGGAGGTCAGAAGGCGACTGTGGGAATCTGTTCTCTCCTCCCACCACATGAATTCTGGAGATCAAACTTGGCTTGCTGGCAAGAGCCTTTATCCACAGAGCCAGTTTTCAAGGTCTATTTACTAAAAGAAAACCAGTCTTTTTAATGCCTACAGTAAGATTAAGTACAGACTTCCAAACAGGTGTCTTTAATATAATTATTACTTATACTTTCAGGAGATGTAAGATATACAAACTGAAGCCTCTCTCAAGCTGAAGGTAACTTGGGACTTACCTTAATTATCTGGGTAAGGGTCTGGGATGATGACTCTGCCACCAAAGCTAACAGAAGACATCTGTGCAACTCTCTAATGCTGGATGCAATTGTTACGGAGAAAGGAGTGAAAGCCATTTTGTGGTCAGTGGTGTCCTCAGCAACAGAAAGAAACTGTTTCGAGCCTTCCAAGATGGCAGACAAAACTTGCAAGGCACAGGCACGCGTCTGGAATGTTAAGATGATTCACACCGGTCAGTCAGAAGTCGGGATCCAGGCTCCCTTCTTTCCATAGGCTCAATTCTCCAAGTACTCAGAGCCATCTTATTAGATAAAGGCAAGGGGAGGCTGCATCAGGTACTGAGGGCAGCTACATGGTACCACTCGACCACACGTAAGGTTGCCATGGGACAACAGTGAGGCAGAACCACTACCACAGCACAAGGATCTGAAGTCCTAAGTGTGGGAATGATTAGATCAGAGACCTATATATCTAAGTATCAGGCTGATGAAAAGAGAACTCAACAGCTCTCAAGAGTACCCACTTACATTCTACTCTGAAGCACCTGAGTGTGTGTTTGTGTATATTAGCAATGGTAATTAAATGTTTAGAAACACTTGGGTGTATCTGATAACGGATGTAAGCTGTGTATGTTTATGGTGTGCACATCTGCATGCACATGTGTCTTTCTCAGTTGCTCTCCACTTTAATTTTTGAGACAAGGCCTCTCACTGAACCTGGAGTTTACTGATTTAGTGGGGCTGGCTGGTCAGCAAGCCCTAGGGATCCACCTGTCTCTACCACCCAGTTCTTTACAGGTGCTGGGGATCTGAACTCATGTCTTCATGCTTGAACAGCAAGCACTTTAAGCACTGGGCCATCTCACAGACCCTAACTATGATCTTATGGACAGAAAGGGGAAAAATACATTTTAGTCATGGATTGCTGTTTATTTAAGGAAGAGTCAGTTACAGGTGACTGTGAGCTGACAAGGGGTGCTGGAAATCGACCCTGGGTCCTCTGGAAGTGCAGTCAGTGCTCTTAACCACTGAGCCAAGCTCCAGCCCCATCTTATATGTAATTAACAACTCAAATGATTACAGAGTATTCTAATATACTGTGGATTATATTCTCCTTTTAGAAAAAAACCTTAATGCAATAGGGCTAATTAAAATATTCACTTTCTAAGGAAAGCATGGTGCTCCTCAGTGTGACTTTTTAATATTCATTGCTGCACGGCTGAGAGCAGACTCTTTTCCTTCCTTGTTTGAGAGCTAGTTTCCAGAGAGGAGTGAATGTATCTATCTAAACAGAGGCAGACACTCCATCGGCCACTGGGTAGTTGCTGATCCTATCCAGACTGCCAAACTATTGTTTTCTCTTTTCTGGAATGGATTTTTTTCTCATTAAAATATGTAAATCTTTCATTTTTTAAAAGATATGGGGAAATTGTTAGAACCTTATTTTATGTATAGTACTATCTTGGGTTTTCACAAGCACTTTTCTAAGCTTCAGATGGCCTCTACAACCACAGACACACTACACGCCACTAGGTTAAGCCTCTACAACCAGGTATACTACATTCTACTGAGTCAAGTCACACCTGAGCCACAGCTTCAGTGGGGCTCACGGGAGACACAGAAGTGATAGCTCAGTGTGCTCTGACTTCAAGCAAAACCCTGGGCTAAGACATAATCTTAATATGCGGTCCACAGATGCCTGTCCTCAGCCATTTCCTGCTAGCAAGGTTCTCAAGTCAGGAGCCGGGATGGTGGAGTGAGAGCAGTATTCAGAGACCAATAGGGCAAAGGGGAAAGACATAGAACTGTGTCTTACCTTTGGAGATGGGTCCTTTAATGTGAGCGTCATTAAGGACACGGATTGTGGGCTTCCGAGCTCGGGCGTGTCAGGAACAAAGGCCGACCAATAGCCATAGAGAACTTTTTTTTCTATGGATTTGATCGTAGAAAGAAAACAAGCTAACGCTCCTTGGCGAACCTTGGCTTGGTACGACCTTTCATAGTGAGAAGAAAGTTTAATAAGTTTAAAAATGCAAAGGAAAGGCTACTTATTCCCACCAGTCCAAATGATTTGAGAAATTAAGCATCCTGAGTATCCCTAGGATGTTACCATCCCTTCCAAAGTATGATCAATACACATTAGGTAATTTTGCTACAAGCTATTAATAGTAAGGCTGAACCAGAGTGAGACAAGAAACAGCACAGTGTCCACTTATCTACCCAATGGATACGCCGAATGACTTCATGTGAGCCACAGCACTTGAGGTGGGGACACACACACAAAGCCCCTGCCCTTCACATGCTTTTTAGTGGAAGTGACAGATGGTTCGAGAAAGGACTGTAACACACTTCACTACACTAGGGCAAAGGTGAACTGCAGGGTCATGTAACAGAGAGTCTAGGTCAGAGTGGAGGTGCAGGAAAAGCTTCCCAGCAACGATGACTTGTGAGCTCACTTTGAAGAGGACTAGTGGCTAACAAGCGAAAAGGCCAGAGAGGGGCAAAGAGTCATGAAAGTAGATCTAGCAGGTGGCCATGGTCAAAGTGAAGTTGACCTTTAAGGTCAACACCACACAGCAGGCAGGTTCTTAAGTCACATGCAACTACAAATAGCAGGTAGAACATTATAACAAAGTACTACTACCTCATTTTCCCCTGCATGCCTCCTTCCGAATCGGAGTAGTCTGACTCACTGCTGCTGGCTCGTTTCCAGCTGGAGGAGGGGAAGGGCCAGACCTGTTCTCTTCCTGCAGCTCTGTCTCCATCCACAGGCAAACTCTGGGCGCCCCGGGGGGAGAAGCGCCAGGTGTTCTCGCCACATGTGTTCACCCTGTTCCTGCTGAGGCCTGGGGCTGCTTCGACTTCACCACTGGATTCTTCCTCCTCCTCCTTCTCTCCTTGTTGGGCTTTCTTTGGTTTTACTTTGTGCTTTTTCTTTTTGTTCTAATTTTAGGAGCAAAGACAATATATATATACATACACACATATATATTATGCATGTATATATACATGCACACATATGTATACATACACATACACATGTACATACTTACATATATTCACACATACATAATACATATATATTATGAGTCATTCCAAAACTACTTTTTAACTGACATCATTGGTACTCTCTCATTTGAAAGTGACTGGAGAGGTCCCTAACAAGCAGTTTGAAGAAAGGAGAAAAAAGAACACAAGCAGAGTGGCAGGATGTGCCAGGCACAATGCATGACATAGTCCTGAACTAGAAACAAGGAATAAGGCTCCTGGACACAGCAACGCATAGCCTGGGCTTTTCCAGGTGACTCTGGAGCCACTTCTGAGTATCACTCCCTCACCTGGAAGCACCAGGCATAGCTGTAGAGAAGCTGGCCTTCTCCAGAGCTTCTGCCAGAGCTCGAAAGCTTGTGGAACATGAGCACAGCCCCTGTCACCCTCTAGGCAGAAGTTCCCTCATCTATTACTTAAAGTGGTCCTGACCTACACTTTCTCTGCAAAAATCTGTGCTTCTTCACAGCCACAAATCTGACCATTTTTCTATGACTCCTACATCACTTACACATAAACCACTCTGTAACACTGTGTAAGACCCCCACACACCTGCAAGCAGGAGCCACATGCGCACTTACTCCGTGTCTATACAGCTCTGATTCCCATCCCTCCACCTTGTTATTCATTCTGGAGTCTCCATTTAGCTATCACATCTTAAGCAAACCTCATGTATACACCAGTTCTGTTTTGTTTTTTAAAATATAGGTGACAAGGATATGAACTCAAGTCCTTATGTTTGTGCAACTGGTACTTTACCTAGTGAGCCATCTCTCCAGGCCCTAGTGCCTGAACTTTTCATGCTTCCTCCAATGTCTTAGTGCTGTGGGACAAGGCTCTTGACCACTGTAAAGATTTGTCACCTGTATTGGTTTAATAAAACACTGATTGGCCAGTAGCCAGGCAGGAAGTATAGGTGGAGAAACCAGACTAGGAGAATTCTGGGAAGAGGAAAGATAGAAAGTCAGCATCAGCCAGACGCAGAAGAAGCAAGATTAGAATGCCTTACTGAGAAAAGGTACCAAGCCACAAAACTAAACATAAATAAGAATTATGGGTTAATTTAAGTTGCAAGAGCTAATTAATAATAAGCCTGAGCTTATAGGCCAAACAGTTTATAATTAATATAAGCTTCTGTGTGTTTCTTTGGGACAGAATGGCTGCAGGACCAGGAGGGACAGAAACTTCCATCTACATCTTAGTGTAGTCCATGTATAAATGTTGAATAAATGAATAAATAAATAAAGGGAATTTCCAATTTAAGCACTCTTTGTCTGCTGTCACATTTCTAGAAATAAATCTTGGTCACCCCCATGAATGCTCCAGAGTCTCCAAGAGAACTGAGGGAAAAGACAGCTGTCTAGAAAGGCTGGGGAATGTGACAGGAGCATCATGGGCTTTAATGGCTCTAAAGAATGACTGTGACATTATGACCCAAGGCTAACTGCAGCCCACCCTGTAGCCTGTTTCTTTTAAGCTTTACTGAAATGTAGCCCATCTGCTTCCACAGAGAATTCCTGGTTGCTTTGCACTGTTACCAGTGATAGCCAGCCCTTTACAAAAGAAGTGTACTGATCCTTCTTGGCTTTGAGGGCCTAGAAAGGAGTCTTCACAGCACTGAAGTAAAGCAAATGCTTGTTTGTAGCGGTCACAATGCCTAAACCTCTCAGAAGTACAAGGTACTCTAACTGGCATTCTCAGCAATCTGATCAAATTTATATTTCTGTATTAACTACACTAACTTGAAAACAAATTACTAGTGGCACACACACGCACACAGTAAGCACGCGAACAATCCACAGCTGAAATCTCAATGGACAGAAATGTACCGCAGATAGTCGAGCAGCACTGGGCTCTGGTTGCTGTGGTTTAACAGGTGATCGTCCATCATACTGAGGAAGTGGAGTTGGGTATAGAACTGTGGGCATCTCTATGTTTAATCCAGGGAGTCCGTGAAACATGGCTTTCTGACAAGGAAAGGTGAGGAGAAACAAATGCCATATAAATCAGAAACGGAATCAGCTCGTTCTCACTAAAGCACAGAACAATGTTTAAAAACTATTACAGAGGGCTGGAGAGATGGCTGGCTCAGAGGTTAAGAGCACTGGTTGCTCTTCAGAGGTCCTGAGTTCAATTCCCAGCAACCACATGGTGGTTCACAACCATCTGTAATGAGACCTGGTGCCCTCCTCTGGCATACAGGCATACATGTGGGCAGAACACTGTATACATTAAAAAAAAAAAAAACTATTACAGAATAAAAATGGTGGTGGTACACACCTTTAATCCCAGCACCCAGGAGGCAGAGGCAGGTACATCTCTGTGAGCTCAAGGCCAGCCTGGTCTATAGGAGTTAGTTCCAGGACAGGCTCCAAAGCTACAGAGAAACTTGTCTCGAGCCCCCCCCCCCCCCAAAAAAAAAGAGGCAAAGGAGATACCTTAAGGTTAGTGCTGAGAGAAGTACTTAACCTTATCTATGTCCATGTCCCCCAATGCTCATGATTTCATCTGATTTCAGAGACTGGGCGTGGCAAGTAAGTACTGGGATGGGCAAGAATGCAGCTGGATCTGCTGCACTGGTCACACCAGATTAGGTTTAGTTTTAGTGCATCTGTAATTTTTATTTATCAAACCACTTTTATCCTGTTATTTTATTGGTCACAAATTGTTTAAACTAATTTATTCTATTTTTGAAACATTTTTTAAGGTTTATTTATGTGCATGAGAGTTTTGCCTGCCTGTATGTGTGCCATGTGTGTACCAGGTGCCTGTGGAGGTCAGAAGAGGGGATTGGATCCCATGGAACTGGAGCTGTGAATGGTTGTGAGCCACCAAGTGTGTGCCGCGTCCTCTGTAAAAGGAACCAGCACTCTTAACCACCAAGCCATCTCTCCAGCCCCTAATTTACTGTTTTTATTTATTCATCTATTTCCATATTTGTTCCTCTCTATTTAGGGATTAAGAGAAAGTAATTAAAATATTGGTCACAAAACTAGACTGTCCCAGATGGCTTTGACCTGAGGTGAACACCATGTCTCTGATTCTTCCTGGATGAACTGAAGGGCTCTGGGTCTCAGAGGGTGACCCGATTTTCCCACTGTGTACAGACTCAGGAGCTAGCAATGGCAGCCTACTGCTCCTTAAGTGCAAAAAGGGAAAGGTGGGTTCAAGATAATCTGTAATTAAATCATTTACAAATTATATCTCACTATTGATTCTTTTCTGAGATTCCAAAGTAATTCTTAAAACTTTGATATATTGATTGTGGTTGTCCTCTGCTCTTAATTTGAACTGAGTACACTTGAATATAAACAATTTACTTTGCTCTTATAATCCACTTGAGACCCTCTAAGCCACAGAGGGCTGGCCAGAGAGGTGCAAGGACAGGAAAGCCCACACTTGGGGCGTGAAGCTGAAGACTCGCCTCACCTTCAGCACCGCGAGGAGCGCGCCCAGGTGCTCTGTTTCCGTCATTCTCATCTTCCCGCCATTAAGAAGGGACTGTATGCCTTTCAGTGCGTTCTGTAACAACTGAGGGGAGGGCAGCAGAGATGCAAGTTAGAAGACAGAGTAAGACCTGGTTCCTCAGGGACCAACTCGGTAACTGTTAGAACAGAAGAGAAGAGCCCTCTAGACGAAGGAACACTTTATGCAGCATACACAACAGAGATGGGGACCAGAGACAAGGGCTGATGGGCGCCCTGGGCATCTGTCTAGAAGAGCCCTCTTACTGTGTACACTTCTAAGTCAGCAAGCATAACTGAGCAAGAAAGCGGGGGGAGGGGGGTAAGACTGCAGAAGGGGCGCAGAGGGCCTGTGAGAGAGCCCAGCAGGTATGGTCGCCTGCCGCCAAAGCTGACGACCTGAGTTCAGTTCCCAGGACCCACTTGTGGAAGGAGAGAACTAACTTCTCCAACATGTCCTCTGAGCTCCACACAAGTGCTGCGGCATGCCCACATGCTCACATACACAATACATAAAGTGCACTTAAAAGTTTTTAGCTGGGCAGTGGTGGTGCGTGCTCTTAATCCCAGCACTCAGGAGACAGAGGCGGGCAGATCTCTGTGAGTTTGAGGCTAGCCTGGTCTACAGAATGAGTTCCAGGACAGCCAGAACTGTTACACAGAGAAACCTTATCACAAAAACCAAACAAATGATAAAAAATAATAATTTTTTTTAAAGGAACAGAGAAAAGATGTGAAAAGCTCTGTAATGAACACCCTGAGTGGTTCCTAAAGGCCAAGGCACGGGTGGGAGGGCAGTTCTGATCAAGTGCCCTCACTTCTAGGACTCCATCCTTCAGAAATCCCCCACAGGGGAAGCAGTGAACTGCAGACTTGTTGAAATAGTGGGAGAAGTCGACTTTCGTGAATTACGGCTGTGACAATTACATAAGCTAACACAGGCTAAATGTGAAAGTCAACAACACTGACATGATTCTGTCACGCACTTTAAATGCTTTATCTTGTGCACCACATAAAAGCCCCACAATATGGGCAGAACGTGGAGGCACCAGGAAATTAAGTAATATGCCCAAATTATTCCATCGGTAGCCACCAGAAACCATGACGCATATAAATAAGCACAGGGAAGTTGTCTAAGAGTCATTAAAACTTAAAAAATGGGAAGGTTGTAAAACAGGGCATCAAATGATAAACATGCTCTTTCAAAAAGCTGGGGGCCCACAGGATGAATTATTTCCAACAGTCATATCTCAGTCAGGTACCAAAAATAACTTTCACTACCTTAGATCTATAATGTTTAAAATATATGCTTCTGAATTAAAATATGTTCATATATCATCATATTTGTCATTAAAATGATATTATTGAATAACTTTCTTCCTTTTTACTCTAAAATCATTCATAATCATTGTACTGTTTTTAGATTAAGGAGGAGAAAGAATATGGCCTTTTAAGTTGTCAAAACAACACTCAGAGCAAACCAAAGCAAGCAAAATGGTTCCTTATCATTTAAATTCAAAGGTGTGGCCTCAGTGCTGATGACTTACAGACACCATTTACACATCCGTGTAGCTCTATCTTTCCAGATGACTTTAATAGAGCAGTCAAATCCTCTAGTCTCCGTTTGGATGTTAACAACAGCCCCACCTACCATGCAAAATGTTATATCATCCATATCAGACGATTTTGGAGACTGTAAAATGGTCAAGAAAGCTTGGAAGCAGACATTCTGATAGGACTCCTCCAGGTACGGCTGTCCTGGAACACTAAAACACAAGCAGAGAGAACAATTCAAGCGGTCTCCTTTGAAATGGTTCTTATAGATAGATAAGAATTAACAACAGCAACGCAGACTGCTAAGTCTAGCGCATATCACTGAATGCTACTGTACTCTAGAAACGCCACTTTGGCTGATTAGGTACTGCTGGACTAACACAGGCTTGAACACACATGAAGGTGGAAGAGAACTATGTCACAGCAGCGTAGAGGAGGAGAGGTGGAGAAGAAATAATCTTCTTTTGGTTCTGCCATTCAGTCATAGGAGGGAAATACCGCAGACAGATCCTGCGGAGTGAGAACAAGACCGAGTGCTTTCCCAGGCACCGGACAGACAGAGCTACGCAGGACAAGGCCAAGTCTGTGCTGCCCATCTGTCACTGCGCACTGTGGTACCAGCTCATCTTTGTTTTTTTCTTTTCTTTTTCTGACACAGAGTTTCTCTGTAGCTTTGGAGCTTGATCTAGAACTAGCCCTTGCAGACCAGGCTCTGTACAATAGCCTCAAGCTAAGGATCCTCTTGCCTCAGCCTCCCGAGTACTGGGATCAAAGTCATGCATCACCAGGCATAGCTTAAGCAAGGTTATTTTTCTACAATCTACGAAAGGCCCAGGAGAGTCCTACCACATACCTGAGACACAAGTTTGCCATACAATGCACTGCAGCTCTCCTGACCTCAGGATCAGAGTGAGCTGAGTCACTCAACTTCATCAAGAGGCCGCTCTTGCCTAGCAGGTCTGGGAGATACTGAAACAAAATATCAACAGTGTGGGTATAAGAACAGCTTCTAGGAAGACTGTACCTGTTAGACAATATTTTCCTAACTAAAGAACAGTTAAATATCAAAAAATTAACCATTAGGTAAATCCTTCAATGGCTACCCAAACATATGCCAGGAATCACGACTGGGGGGCTGGAGAGATGGCTCAGAGGTTAAGAGCACTGGCTGCTCTTCCAGAGGACCTGAGTTCAATTCCCAGCAACCACATGGTGGCTCACAACCATCTTTAATGAGATCTGGCGCCCTCTTCTGGCAATGCAGACAATAATGCATAATAATAAAATAAATCTTTAAAATCTTTTTTTTAAAAAAAATCATGACTAGGTAATTGCTGGGGCTCTTTAGTCTTGGATACGTGGAAGAAGGGTGACGATGATAATAATGGCCAACAGTTATAGCCAAGCACTGTTTCATCCTCAGAGCAATATCTTACCATGAATAAACAAGGGATCCAGGAAGGCTATACATGCAATTATGGCAGGATGGATATTTGAAAACAGGTATCTTGGCTCTCAAGTCTGTGTTACTAGCCTTTCAAAGGAAAGGTGTAACAGTTTAAAATACCTGATGCAAACCTAGAGTCACCTGGGAAGAGGGGACCTCAACTGAGGAACTGTCTCCATCAGGTGGCCTGGAAAAGCGTTTGTGGGGAGTTCCTTTAACTGCTAACTGATGTAGTGGGCTCCAGCCCACTGTGGGCGGTGCCATCCCGAGGCAGTTGGGCCTGCACTGTATAAAAAAGACAGCTGAGCAAGCCAGAGGAAGCAAGCTAGTAAGCAGCATCTCCCGGTGGTTTCTGCTACAGTTCCCGCCCCAGCTTCTTTGGATGATTGGCTATAAGTTGTAAAATGAAATAAACACTTTCGTCCTTTAGTTGCTTTTGGTTGTGCTGTTTATCACGGTAACAAAACACAACCTAAGACACTACCTTTTGACATTTTGAACCATTGCAGTAAACCAGAGCGGCCAGGGCTTGAAGAATTTCCATGTGTGTCCAAGAGCTACACTGCTGAATAGCTGAAATTGTATAGGTCAACAGGAAATCCAAGTTCTGCTCGTCTACAACCACCTAACAAGAAAGGGAAAAACAGAGATGAACTAACGGAAGAGAGCACACGTTCATCTTTTTTGTACCAAAGCATTGGCTCTAAGTTTGATCAAGATAGGGGGAGACCGTCTCCCTGCTATAGGGTCTTGATCACTTCTGTCCCTTTGATGTCTCCAAAGTAGAAACTGGTAGTCCTTGTAACTTTTCCTGGAACTAATTAGAAACTGACAACTATAAGTCAGATACAAAACTCAATACACTGAAGTGTCTTAATTCAATTAAACTGACTTAGCATATAGTAACTATTCAACTAATACGTAGCAAACAAACACATCTGCTAACTACATATTGTGATGATGTGAGGAACATGCCAAGAAGATATGACAAATCCCTGTCCCCTAGAGTTTATAATTTTCTCAAGAAAAAGTGGGCTGACCAAAATCCAATTTATGGACATTCAAGTCCATATTTAGTGTCATCAAATATTAGAAAGTTGGTTATGGGCTCTTGATGCCACAGGTGTCAGGAAGTTCTCAAATTGCCAGTGACACAGAGATGAAGCACATGACAATAGTGAAAATTCAGAAGATATCCCACATCTGTCTGGGACAGTCTAAACCTGGAATATATGCAGCTGGCCACACGCCAGCACCTAACACACGCAGCTGGTCACACGCCAGCACCTAACACACGCAGCTGGTCACACGCCAGCACCTAACACACGCAGCTGGACACACGCCAGCAACTAACACACGCAGCTGGTCACACGCCAGCATCTAACACACGCAGCTGGTCACACGCCAGCACCTAACACACGCAGCTGGTCACACGCCAGCATCTAACACATGCAGCTGGTTACCCGCCAGCATCCATCCCCTTGCCCAGCAGCAGGGTTCTGCTTTTATTTGGATGCCCTCCTCTCTCGCAGTCTGAAGGATTCTGGTTGAAACAATGCTAACTGATATTCGTACACTCATCTACTCATGGATTCACTTACAAGGTTTACAGATGGAGAACTGCAGAACAGATGTTGGCAGAAATAACTGTGGTCTTTTTATCCTGAGGCTCCCTGTTCCCAAGATACTTGTGGGGTTTTATATAGATTTCAAAAATAAGAGTTTCAGGAAAAGTGAGTAACATTGGTGGGAAAGACATAGGGAATCATTTGACTATGTTCTGGGATATAACTCGATCAATTCTATTTTCCATGGGAAAAAAAATCTAAGTTGGTATGAATGATGTTGGTTTATTGAACCAAACATAAAAGAATATTCTCATAAGCAAAAGTCTAGAATCTCTCAGAAAATATATTCAGCCAGAATTCTACTTGGTCTTAATGATATACTCTTATTAAGCATTGGTTTTTCCGGTGGTACTGATGCTGGGATTGAACCCTGGCCTCATGTGTGCCAGGCCCTCAAGGCAAGGCTTTACCACTGAGTTGAACTCCCAGTTCAAGGCATTATATTTATTTGAAGCTTTTCAAAAGATCAGAGAACCGATCTGGGCATGGCAGCAAACATCTGTAATCCCAACACTTTAAATAAACATGAACAAAAAGATCAGAAAGAAGGGCAAGGTCTTTCTCAGCCAGCCTGAGCTAAGATCCTGTCTCAAACAGAACAAAGAGCTGAGCCTACCATAAATGCATTCACAGTCTGAGCCCTGAAGTGACACACATGCTTACCTGCAGTCTGTAAAGTAAATGGTGGATCAGCTGGGACACTTTGCTGACAAGGTGATTCTGACTAAGAGGCACCAACTGACAAGCCCGCACAAGAACAGCACTGACGTCCTAAAAAATAAAATAAAATAAAATAAATGCACCAGTTAGCTGAGTGAGCACCCCAAACACAGCACTGGTTAGCTGAGTGAGCATCCCAAACATAGTCAAATAGGAAAGTTTAGTGATGTTCCACACCCAGTGTTGGAAAATATCCCAGTGAAAGTTGAGGAAGAAAATAAGGGTTGGGGGAATGAAATAACAAAAATTAGGGCCAGGCGGTGGTGGTGCACACCTTTAATCCCAGCACTCGGGAGGCAGAGGCAGGCGGATCTCTGTGAGTTCGAGGCCAGCCTGGTCTACAAGAGCTAGTTCCAGGACAGGCTCCAAAGCTACAGAGAAACCCTGTCTCGGAAATCCAAAACAAAACAAAACAAAACAAAACAAAAAACAAAAATTAGGAAGCAATAAAAAGAAGGAAAGGAACTTTTACCATATAGTACAGTTAAATAACAAAAGAAGGGCTTCCAGCATGGAAAAGCACGCGTGCTACAGCTAAAAGTACCAAGCGAGTCAGACATTCAATGCTACGGGGCAAATCAGAAATACACTTACATGACTTCCATAAAATTAGAAAGATCACAACAACAAAAAGAAGGCGCTAGCCACAAATGACACTACCTAATGACGCTTGCTAAGTAAAAAGGCTCTGAGCCAGGCTAAGGCTAACCAAACATTTCCCTGAACCACGGAGACCTGACAGTCTAGTAAGGGAAATAGAAAGAAACACAAGTAAAGTAAATTAAGAACAGAAAGGATTCCACAGAAACCCGGAAGTGAGGGCTCCTGAAGGCGAATTTTAAGCAGAATCTGGAATGATCTGAAGAATTAGCAGAACTTTGCCAGACAGACAAGCAATCAAAAAGCCAAATGATGGGGGTAGTGGGTGGGGAGCCTTGGAGACCAAAAAGCCTTCAGGTCTTGAACAGCAACACGTTCCAGATGACTGCACCCGCTCAGGGTCAAAGAGGGGAAAAGCACACCTTGTCGCTGCTGCACAAAATATCAAAGTGTATAAATAAAAATCCCCCTAACTTCACTCTTCATTCCACTCTGCTCCCTTAGCCGTGCTGAGCTCGTCTGGATTCTCCCCCTTTCTATATAAATGTACAATTATTTAAAAAAAATCTCCTCCTTCCTTGAGCTTCATGTACTGACTGTTTTATTAAGCAAGTTGCTTCTGCCATTTGCCAATGTACATTGAAAATCTCTGACTAGTTTTACACTTTTATAGGTTTTTTGTTTGCCTTTTTTTTTTTTTAAACTAAATAGTAGATTCTGGCAAAGAACAGTCTGGAAAGGGGCTAGTCTGGAGAAGACCAGTAAGAAACCAGGGGAACAGTTTAGGCAGGAATTAGTTTACCTAAAGCACAGACAATGAGAATAAAAAGGAGAGCGAACTGAGGAACATGTTTGAGACAGATTCTGCTGGATTTTAATCCGACAGGCCCCAGGATAATGGAAAGGAACAGCATGTCCGCCTTGTGTGTATTTCAGGTGGGTAGAGTAGAACGGACTGGGACTGTGGGAGAAGAGCCGAATAAAGTCACCGTTGAGAGCTCTCAAGTTGGAGGTGTTTGGGGGCCATGGTAGAGCTGGCTCAAGGATTAGGGAATTAATGATATACAAGGTCCGAAGTGTATCAGTAAGATTACTCTGACAGTAGAAGTGAGGCAAAGGAGGAGGCGCTAGTGCGGAAACAAAATAGAAAACACAGGCACCAGGGCAAACGTAGGCTCCAATTAGCCAAAACCGTGACGCTGGATCTCTGTGAGCTTCAGTGTGTTCACCAACGAAACCAACAAAAATTATCCTCGACATCCCTGGAGTCGTTCGCCAGGGATGGCAGCCTAGGGCGTCAGAGCAGCAGCCTTTGAAAGATGCTAGCTTGCAACCCTTCAGATGGAGGGCAGAGAATACGGCACAGACGAAGGGAGAAAGCCAGCCTGGAACTAAGGCACTCGGGGGACCGGTGACACCCGGAGGGTCAGGAGAAAGGAACCTGCCGTTGTCCAGGAAGGGGGAGTCGCGCCGCCTACCTCGGGGGCCACGCCGCCGCCCTCACTGTAGTTCTCGGAGATGAGCTGGTCGAAGAGCAGGTGGATCTCCATGCGGGACACGGTGCTGTCATCCGGCTGCAGCGCGCGGAGCCTGGCTGACAAGCGGCGGAACCCATCGTCCTGCTCGGGCGACAGCTCCCGCGGGGCCTCTCGCGGCTGCCCACAAGGAAGCGACGAGGCGACCTGCACCGCCGCCATTTTTCCTACGTGAACCAGCTGGGAAATACTTCCGGGACACCGCTTGGGGGCAGGACTTCTTTGAGAGCTCTAGTTCCGGAAAGTATTGCACTACAGGTTGCAACTGTGATGATAAGGGTATCATTCCATCAAGCCTGGTATCTTGTAAAAGGTGGCAGAAATAAGGCTTGAAAATCCCCCCCCCCCCTTATCCTCTCAGAAAGTTCGCTCCTGGTCGGGCTGACATTCCTAGAGTTTCAAGATTCTGGCTGAAGCTGGAGAGCACTGTGACATCCTTGTACTCTTACTTAGATCCTACCAGAATCCTTGATCTCCCTTACCCCCAGTGAGATAAACTGATAGTTATAGCAGCGGTTCTCCTGGCTCGACACCAAGAGTATCTGAAGCAATTCTCAAGACCTGTTCAAACATTGCACTGAGCTAGGATGTAGGGCCTCGTTCTTACCACAATAGAGGTATGAAGAGACTGTGTGAACAGTCCGGGTTTAACGACAAGGGTGACCCACATAAAGTGTTATTCAAGACTGAATGACCTTGGTATCATAGAGTATACGTCTAAGCTGTGAACTTCCACAGTTTTAGGGTAGGAGGTTGGTGTGTAGGGGCTGCTATCATGTAGCTCAAGTCAATGCAAGCAGTCTTCAAAGGCCTCCCTGGGAACTCTGCATATAGTTTTCCTTCGGTTGGTGATGACCACAGAATAGGGATGTTCATTTTCTTGGTGGACCCACACTGCCATCCACAAGGATAGATGTTATCAGAACTCAACACATTGGCATTAATTAGTAGCTTTTCTGCTGTTAGGATTAGATACCCGAGAGGGACAGATTAAAGGAAGGAAAATTTATTTTTGGTTCCATATTTCAGAGGTTTAAGGCTGTCTGTGGCTGGCTCTCCTGCTTTGCTCTGTAGTAAAGCAGAATTATCTTGCCAACAAGTGTGTTTGGTTGAGGCTGCTCACCTAAAGCAAGCAGGAAGTGACAAGAAGCAAGGCAGGCCCAGGACAAAATACCCCAGTGATGTACCTACCTCCTTCAGTAATGCCCTGCTTCCTGAACAGTGTTATCAATTATGGACCAACTGCCCTCAACATATGAGTCTGGGAGACATGTCATAGTCAAAGCATGACAACCTCCAAATAATGCAAGCAATGTGAAGACTTTTACAATAATGATTTATTAAGAGAAATACCTCCTTGTCCCTCCCCCACTGTGCTCCTTGTAATCTTCATCCAGGGCCTCCATTTTTAAGAGCTTTCTTGGGCATGGAGTTCCAAACAGGCAAATTTTTTTCAAGGTAGAAACTGTAGAAAGAGAGGTACAATTATTAGAGAAGATGACCCTCGAGACAATTCTTTGTTGGAGAAATAGATATAAAAAGTATACTTGTTGCCAGGCAGAGGTGGCATATGCCTTTAATCCAAGCACTCAGGAGGCAGAGACAGGCGGATCTCTGTGAGTTTGAGGTCAGCCTGGCATACAGAGTGAGTCCCAGGACAGGCTCCAAAGCTACACAGAGAAACCTGTTTCGAATGTTCTTGAGACCTGCTGTTTGGGGGTGGGGGTAAGTAGCTACCTAGAATGCAAAGAGAAACAGCAGTTCCCGATTCTGGAAACCCATAGCACTGTATAGAAGCCAGCAAGCGCTACAGGTGGGTGGGTGGGACAAATACAGTGTTCTGAGCACGAACAGTTTAGGTTTGTTTTGATTTATTTGTGTGAATGTTAGTGTTTGTGTATGTGCAGTTACATGCGTGTCGTGGTCTAAGGGGACAGAGGACAGATTTTGAGGCCAGGTCTCTCCTTCCACCATGTGGATTCTAGGAATCAAACTCAGATTGCCAGTCTTGGCAGCAGGAGCTTTACCAAACTGTTGATCCGAACAGTTTGGTGTTGAGAGTATATGCTAAATATGCTAATACAATTTAACCTACAGAAGCACTCCCATGACTCTAGACTATCTTTTCAAGTCCTGTCCCTTAGACATACCATATAGTAGTTTTTTATTATTCTTTTTTTCAGTTAGTAGGTACTGAAAATTAAAAAGGGAAACTTATACAGTATTATGAATCCCATTAAATATTTTACAGAAAAAGCATCTGCTTAGGTAAATATGGCAATGTGCATCAAAGGCTTACTATGATTATTCTTTGGTCATTGATTATATATATCAGGTTGTATCCCAAAGGAATTAATAAATTTTAATAGTCATACAGTCATATTAATATTATAAAATAAATGTCGTAAGCTTTTATTTACAAAGATTGTTGGCAGAAGAGCATATACAAAGGGCCACAGAGAAGGCAAAGATAGTGGGATGGGACTGAGGATAAGTACTGATATTAAAATTATTGGTTAATTATTTTTAAATTGAAAAGCTAAGGAATCAAAAAGCTACAAGGTTCTTGTTTTTAAGTATGTGTTTTATATTTGAGCACAGTTAAATATGTATCACAGTCATAAACAGACATCATTTTTGGGGTGATGAATAATGGGTGATTTTATCTTCTTGCTCAAATCTTGTCTGATTTTTCTCCTGGGTAGACTGGGTGGGGAAATTATTCTAAAGGTTTGGAAAACGCCATCCTGTGGTAGGTGCATCTTCTTCATGGAGGGAAAAGGGGAGAAACTCTAGGGAGACACATGGGAGTCTATCCTACCAACTCCTGGAAAGCCCCATGGGGTCAAAGGTCTAACCTGCCTGGTCTAGGCGAGATGTGTGGTAACAGTAAGGGTAAGATGGTTTTACCTGGTCTTAACTTGTTACACAGACATGACCGCACCCAGTGCTGACACACTGATCCCCTTGTGCACAGTCCCAGTCACCTCTGCAGAGCTCAGTGCAGGCACCTAAATCAGAAGAGATCATCTGAAAGCCAGGCAGGTGGGATAAACCGGAAATCCCAGCCGAGGCAGGCATTTCCTCAGCTAATGGCCAGCCTGGACTATACAGTGAATTTACCCTCTCACAACAGACAAATAGGGCCAGCCTGGACTACACAGTGAATTTACCCTCTCATAAACAGACAGACAGATGGTGAAAGCCACTGTGCTTTAGGCTCAAGTTCTGGGGATGACAGTCCTTGCTTAAGGAGTAGAATTCACTAGTTTCTTTTCGCTCAAGTATAATTTGTAAGCTGTTACCGTTTAATTCTGTTAAAAACAAGGCACACACATAATCTCATTAAAGCAAGCCCACTTTAGAGATGTGGATAGAGGGGTCGTATTTGTGGAAAGGAAGGAAGACAG